TGCGGGATGCTGAAGGAACTTAGTTGTCATGGAAATGTTTTCTGTGTGATGTATTCTGTGGCCCTTGGAAGGCTGGCAGGACCCTCTCACTTCCCCCCATTTCTGTATAAAAGGACATCTTCCATGTGGCATGACCTTGCATGTACAATTAATTTTCTTGAACTCATGCAACTCTAGGGCCTGAGTGTGTGTCTGATTTTGGGCCCTTACTCCCAGAAAGGCCTCTCCTTGCTTGGCTCTGCAGCAGACTGTGAGCACATGGCCTGGGGAGAATCTGCTGGACAGCTGGAGCTCCAGAAGCCTTGTCCCTAGCACAGCAGTTCTCAAATTGTGGTTCAGGACCCCAAGTGGGTCGGGGCCCTATTTTAATGGGGTCACCAGGGCCATCATTAGATTTGTTGGGACCCAGGGCTGAAGCCCTAGCTCCAGCCCCACCTGGAACGGCAGGGCTTGCGCTACCGCCCTCTCTTCCCCCCACCCAGGGTGGCAAGGGCTCGGGCTCCGCCCCCCTCCCAGGGTCATGTAGTAACTTTGTTGTCAGAAGGTGCAATGAATTTTGAGAACCCCTGCCCTAGCACCATCATGTTGCAGAATCAAAAGTCAAATGTTTGTGCACAGCTTTACAGTATTCCCATTAAGTGAGAATCACATTTTCTGCTGTGGGAGGTGGAAGGAGCAGGAGAGGCGCCAGTGTTTTTGCCGCCCTAGGCAGCAGCGCTCCTCCTCTGAGCATTCGGCGGTGGGGGTCCTTCCGCTCCACATCTTCTGGGCACTTCGGCAGCGGGTCCCGGAGCGAGTGAAGGACCCGCCGTCGAATTTCCGCCGAAGACCAGGAGCAGAAGGACCCCCCACCGCCGAATTGCCGCCGAGGGTGGCAAAATGCCCCCCCACCCCAAATCCTGCCGCCCTAGGCGACTGCCTAGGATCACCTAGTGGAAGTGCCAGCCCTGGGAAGGAGCAGATAAAAGTTCTGCTTTGGATGGGGAGTCCCTTCTTGTCTTGGGGGAAGGCGCAGACTCTATATGTGGGAGTCCAGCCCAGAGGGAAATGTTGCTCTTATCCCTTTTCTGTTCTTGCTCTGTCTATCAGGGATGTGGCACTTTCTAACTGAATTCTAACTTCTAGCTGAATGTTCCCTACCCTACAGGAGAGCACAATGGCTTCTCTCCTATCTAGAGAGCCTCACAACCTCTTCATCCACAGCTGAGCAGCAGCTCAGGCAGTCCCCAGTTCAGACTCCATCCCCTATTGTTCTAGGGTCTCCTACTACATGCAGGATAGGTGCCTGCATGGGCAGCAGCACTGCTGGTGCCTTCCCTTCTGCCATGCAGCAAGCGTGCTGGAAATACATAGTTCAACTTTGCTGCGGTTTCCACTTTCCTCACTGCACTGGCATGAGCCTTTGCAGAGACAATGAAACCGACTGGGGCTCCCCCTGTGATGCTGCCCCAGCCCCTAGCCTATCCCAGAGAACAGAAAGGCTCTTTAAAAAAAAAAGTGCCGATGCTGGGGTGGCTGTCAGCTGTGGCAGATCCCTCCGCAGATGTAAACATACATCATAAAGGGAGAAAAGGTGGTTTGGAGACCCGTGAGGCTGCAGTTGCCTGGATGGAGCTAATCCACAGAGGCTCCTAGGGAACCCCTTTAGCAGGAGAAGTGAAGGGAATCTGTAATTGCAACAGTCCCTAAAGTAAACACCCCCCAAAATAAAGAAAAGCCACAAACAAAGTCAACCAAATAGAGAGAAATGCTACCAATGTTGTGATAGATTCATAGACCTTAATGGAGTACAGTCCTTATAAATCAAGGGGATGGCTGCCTCTCAGGACTAAAGATTCTTCTGCAAAGTCTTTCAGCAGCAGTCTGTTGCAATTATACTCATTTAAAACTAAATGGGACTCTTACCAAAAACAGAATGAGGGACCAAAAATGGAATACAAAGTACAGTGCAAGCCCCAGAGAGGAGGAGTCCAACCAGTGCGAGGGAGGAGAGTGAAACAGAGAGGTGCTTTCTGCTCTATATCCAGACTACAGGGAGTGCAAAAAAAACAAGAAAACCACCCCCCTAAAATTATCAGAACTGAGAGGACATTCCATTAAAACATGATGAAGAAAAGCCGTGTATATTCCGGGGGGAGGAGGGGAGAGATGAGCAAGCCTCACACTACACAATGGACAATAATGACAAATAAACAGATTACCCACATATTGTATGCCTGAAACTACATTTTGCAAGTCTAGTGTAGTTTGTGATTCCAGTACTAAATTTTTCTTTGTATTGGTTCTAATGTCTGTGTTTTAGAGGACTAATTCTTTGGGGCCAGGGACCATATCTTTCTTCAAGTTTCATACAATCATAGAAATGTTAGACTGGAGGGGACTTTGAGGAGTCACCAAGTCTAGCCCCTGCACTTTGGCAAGACCAAGTAAACCTAAATCATCCCTGACAGGTGTTTTTACAACCTGTTTTTTTTAAAAACCTCCAATTATGGGGATTCCACAACTTCCCTTCAAAGCCTATTCCAGAGCTTAACCACCCTTGTAGTTAAAAAGTGTTTCCTAATATCTAACCTAACTCTCCCTTGCTACAAATTAAGCCCATTACTTCTTGTCCTACCTTCAGGGACATGGAGAATAGTTAGCCACCATCCTCTTTATAACAGCCCTTAAATGTATTTGAAGGCTATCAGGTTCTCCCTCAGTCTTCTTTTCTCAAGGCTGAACATGTCCAGTTTTTTAAATCTTTCCTCATAAGACAGGTGTTCTAAAGATTTTATCATATTTGTTGCTATCCTCTGGACTCTCTCCAATTTGTTTGTATCTTCCTAAAGTGTAGTGTCCAGAATTGGACACAGTACTCCAGCTGGGACTTCAGCAGTGCCAAGTAGAGTGGGACAATTACCTCCTGTGTCTTACATACAACACTCCTGTTAATACACCACAGAAAGCTTGTTGACTCATATTCAATTTTTGACCCACTATTACCTCCAGATCCTTTTCAACAGTACCACCACCTGGCCAATTATTCCCCATTTTGTAGTTGTGCAGTTGATTTTTCTTTCCTAAGTGAAGTACTTTGCACTTGTCTTGTTGAATTCAGACCTATTCTCCAACTTGTCAAGATCGTTTTAAATTCTAATCCTATCCTTCAAAGTGCTTGCAGGCTCTGCCAGCTTGGTGTCATCTGCAAATTTTATCAACATACTCTCCACTATCCATGTCATTAATGAAAATATTGAATAGTACCAAATCTGGGACGGACCCCTGCGGTAACCCATTAGATGCTCCTTCCCAGTTTGACACTGAATCATTCATAACTACTCTTTGAATACGGTCTTTCAACCAGTTGTGCACCCACCTTAGGGAAATGTGGTCTAGATAAAATTACAATAGTTTGCTTCTGAGAATCTCATTTCAGACTGTGCCAAAAGCTTTACTAAAGTCAAGATATAGCACATCTACTGCTTCCCACCTATCCACTAAGCCAATAACCTTGTCAAATAAGGAAATTAGGTTGGTCTGGCATAATTTGTTCTTGACAAATCCATGCTGGCTATTCCTTATAACCCTATTATCCTTCAGGTGCTTACAAATTGATTAATAATATGCTCCAGTATCTTTCCAGGTATCTTTAGTGTAACCTGGCCTTATAAAACCCGCATGGAGACCAATGCCAATAAGATGCAATATCCTCATGACCAGAAGTTCCTTCAGAAAATACTAGTGTGTCTCATTTCTCTCTAGAATTGCGGCCTTGTCTACATAGGCAAGTTGCACCAGTGTAGCTTAAATCATTTTTAAAACTGATTTCATTAAACTGGTGCAAACACCTGCATGGGCACTTATTTCAGTTTAAGAATAGCTTATTTGGGTTTACCTAGAAGTTCATAATCAGTGTAAACTAAACTAAAGAAGGCCATTCCAGTAAGAGTATCCACATTGATGTTTTTACTGGTTTAACTAAATCAGTTTAAATTTACATCTTAGGCCAAGTCTACACTATCACTTACTTTGGTATAATTTACATCACTCAGGGTGTGAATAAGCCACCCCCGAGTGATGTAAGTTACACTGACTTAAGCACTGGTATGGACAGTGCTATGTCAAAACAGCTACTGCTGCTTGTGGAGCTGGCATAGAGCATCTTCACCAGAAACATTGCAGCTGTGCCAATATAGTGCTTCTAGTGTAGACTAGTCCTTTCTTCTGTACGCAGCCCTTATACTATCAGAAGCAGGCTCCTTTTTGGATTTGGGTTTGGGTGAGTCTATGCCTGTCATATTGATAGTTTGTCTCTGTCACCTACAAAAGTTGGTCCAATAAAAGATATTTCCTCACCCACCATGTCTCTTTAATATCCGGGTGGGGAGGGGGGAAGGAGAATCAGATATCTGGGAGAAACTGAGCTCCAGGTGGAAGCAAAAGAAATGAAACCCTGCATGAGGATTGGGAGTAGCCCCAGAGAAATGTGGCCTGTACTCTGTGTTCTGGAAAGAACCCCGGGGCTGGATAACAAATGGGTCGGTGTGACCATGATCTGGGGCCCCAAGCTATAGCGACCACGGCCTCTTTTACGGAATTATTTAATACTGCATCAAACACTGAGAATGGAGGGGCCTCTAATTTTTATAACCATAGTAGCTTGTACTCTAATGTGAGCCGCAGACCCCTCTACAACAGACCACGTGTACGTATGAGTCCTCACTCTGTAAGAGAGGGGCCTTGATGGGGGGGGGTGGGGGTGAGCACCAGGCACTCCACGGCCTGCGGGTGGGCGCCTTAGGCACAATGGGGGCGCGGGAGCCTCTGGAGCACGCTCTCTCCCCCAGGCGGAGGGGCAGAGGGTTCGTCACGGCGCCGGGCCGGCCGGACTCTTTTCTCTCCCGGCTCGGCGGAGGTGCACGGCCCGTTCTGGCGGCGCTCAGCGACCAGCGTCTGTTAGAGGATTGTTTGGAGGTAGCTGACTGAGGAACTGCCGGTGCCCCAGCTCGGCCATGGCCGAGTTCTTGCCGCCGCCCGAGTGCCCCGTGTTCGAGCCCAGCTGGGAGGAGTTCACCGACCCCTTCGCCTTCATCCACAAGATCCGACCTATCGCCGAGCAAACCGGCATCTGCAAGGTGCGGCCGCCGCCGGTGAGTGCCCAGGTCCCGGCGCCGTCCGCCCACATGGCGCCGCGAGCGGAGCGGTCCTTTGTGCGCGGGCCGCGGGGGGCCCAAGGGGACCCTGGGGTCCGGGGGGGGGGCGAGCCAAGCCAAGCCAAGCCAAGCCAAGCCAAGCCAGGGGAGTCATCCTTAGGCACGGCGCCCGGCAGGGCTCCGGCTGGCGGAGAGGCTTGACCGGACAGTGCGGGGGGCTCCTTCACGGCCCCGCCGAGGAGCCCGCGCTCCCCACGCCCCGCCGCCCCCACGCGTGTCGGAGAAGTGTTCTCCCGTGGCAGCCGGGCCTACTGGCGGTTCACGGCAGGGCCGCGGCCTGTGGGTGCTTGGCCCTGGAGCACAGGCGTCAGGAGTGCGGCCGTGAGGCGAACCCCAAGCTGAAGCGAGCCGCCCGCAGACCGGCCGAGCGGTGAGAGCTCGTTAGTCGCGCTTCAGGGAGAGGGGCCGGGCGAACTGGCCTGCGGCCCGAGACAGCCCCTTTCCGTTCAGCCTCCCGCCTGGAACGGTGAAAGTGACTCGAGAGCCTTTGTTTTCATACCTGCCGAGAGAGCGGAGCTCGTCCTAGGGAGGAAGGGCTCCGCTTTCACCCCTTGTGAGCAGCCAGGCTTGGACGGGGAGACCTGTACTGTGCTTCGAGCGTTTATCTACGAAAGTTCCACCTCGGCCAGATTCCTGGTGATTGAACCGCTGCCTTTAGTGGAACTGGAGCAGTCGCTATGTACAGACCTAAATGAGGCAGCTTGTTGGGTGTTGCCCTCCATGTTGGCATTGTAGTGTGCTAGGGCTGTAGCTTCTCTCTTTGCCTTTTTCAGAGTCCAGAGTGGCATTTCTGTGGCTATGTTAGAGGTTTGGTTTAGTTTTTAATATAGTTACCCATTGTTTTAACTTGAACAACATGTAACTAACTATTCAGCATAGAATTTTAAATTGTATTTTTTTTTAATCATAGGCAGATATGACTACCATTTTAGAATGCAATACATAGTGGGAAAAGTAGTAAGTCTTTATCACTACATACATGTAAACTGACACTATAACATGCCACAAAATGAGCCTGTAATTTCATTTCTTTAATTGAATAGTTAACATTTCCCAAATTTTATTGGCTATAGTTAGTATAAAAAAGCTTGAAGTGTAGTTCTAGTCATAATCCTTGTTTTTATGTGAAACAGTGAACTAGAATTACTTTGGTGAGGAGGGTCTTGTTGAATAAAGATTTAGCTTGATAAAAGTGGGTGTACATGGTCTTTATTTTGAGGAAAGTGTTCTTATCCTAAAGGATAAGGTGGTACAGGTATCTTGAAATAGTTAATGTGATAACAACAAGAAGAGTGCTACCCTGTTTATTTAAGTGGTCAAAAGAGTTAAATCTCGTCCAATAAGAGGTGAGGATAAAAACACATTTTTGTGGACTTAATTTCTCTGCACTCTGAGTATCACTTCTGAAATTGTGTCCAGAGTTATATATGTTTCAGTCCAACTTTTTGATCATACACTTGGAATTCTTAAACATATTGAGTTGAAATAAAATGAAGTAACTTGCTGTAATTTATACACTGAGACTAAAATAAGCTGCCCTGTACAGTAAGATCTACAGATAATACGGTCTGTTGGAAGAGGACCCACACAACATGCGATTGTATGCCTGCATATACAGACACACACACACACACACACACTTAACTCAATAATTAGTGAAAAAGGGCAAAAATGTGTAATTATCCGTGTGCTGACTTCATAATTGAGGTTATAAAACCATCTTCATTATCTCCCCCCACCCCCCAATTTTGAACCTCTCCTTTTGTGTAGAATAATTCTCTCTGGATGGATATGGTCAACTATGGTTCTCAGCAACTGATCAGAACTGACTTTTTACATACCATTTTCAAACAACCACTCTTCAAAACTAATTTATATGCTGTTTGCTTGCTAGTATAGAACAAAATTAATAGTAAACTGTTTCTTACACGCTATGCTCCTTAATGGGGAAGTCAGAAATAGATGGGACCTCTACAGGCTAAAATAATTAAATGCCAAGGAAAGAGACGTTTTCAATTATCTAACCCCTCCCCCCCCTAAAAAAAAAACACACCAAAAAAGCAAAATCGGACTGATATTGATTATATGAATGACCATATATTTCACTGGCTTTTTTTATGGGAGTTCTTTGAGGGGATCAGCGAACGTGGACAAGGGTGATCCAGTGCATACAGTGTACTTGGATTTTCAGAAAACCTTTGACAAGGTCCCTCACCAAAGGCTCTTAGGCAAACTAAGCAGTTGTTGCATAAGAGGGAAGGTCCTCTCATGGATCAGTAACCAGTTAAAATACAAGAAACAAAGGATAGGAGTAAATGGCCAGTTTTCAGAATTGAGAGAGGTAAAAAAGGTATCTCTCAGAAATCTATACGGTGGCTAGTGTTCAACATATTCGTAAATGATCTGGAAAAAAGGGTGAACAGTGAGGTAGCAAAATTTGTAGATGATACAAAATTACTCAAGATAGTTAAGTTGTAATCAGACTGTGAAGAGTTACAAAGGGATCTCGCAAAACTGGGTGACCGGGCAACAAAATGGCAGGTGACATTCAGTGTTCAGAAGTGCAATGTAATGTATATTGGAAAATATTATCCCAACTATACATACAAAATGATGGGGTGTAAATTAGCTGTTACCACTCAAGAAAGAGATCTTGGACTAATTGTGGATAGTTCTCTGAAAACATCTACTCAATATGTAGTGGCGTTCAAAAAAGCTAACTATGTTAGGAACCATTAGAAAAAGGATAGATAATAAGACAGCAAATATCATAATGCCTCTATATAAATTCACGGTACGCCTATATCTTAAATATTGCGTGCATATATACCTATCTTAAAAAAGTATATTAGAGCAGGGCAACAAAATGATTAGAGGTATGGAACAGCTTCCCTATGAAGAGAGATTAAAAAGACCTGGAATATTCAGCTTGGAAAAGAGACAATGGGGGGGGGGGGGGAATAAAATCCTGCAGGGTGTGGAGAAAATGAATATTGAAGTGTTATTTTCCCCTTCGCATAACACAAGAATTAGGAGTCACCTGATGACATTAATAGGCTGCAGGTTTAAACCAACCAAAAGGAAGTACTTCTTCACAACACATGGTCAACCTGTGGAACTCATTGCCAGGGGATGTTGTGCAGGCCAAAAGTATAACTTGGTTCAAAAAAGAATTAGATAAATTCATGGCTATTAGCCAAGATAGTCAGGGATACAACCCTGTGCTCCCCCTAATCCTCTGACTGCCAGATCCTGGGACTGATCACTTGATGATTGTCCTGTTCTGTTCATTTCCTTTAAAGCATATGGTACTGGTCACTGTCGGAAGACAGGACACTGGGCTAGATGGACCATTGGTATGTATATTCTTATATTCTTAATGTACGTATTTAGAGCCAGGTTGAGAACAGTGGGAGGTCCTGGTGTGGAACACTTCATGCTTAAATGGAAGCTGCACCTTCACGAAAGTCTGGCCCCCATAGCTGTTGTTTATCCTAGATACTTGAGCCAGTCAGAGTACCAGTAGTACAGTGTGCCCACACTATTTTAAGGCTTGCTTAAATGCCTATAAAGTCTCTATTCAATGCTATTTCTAATCATTTTTCTCAAAATAGAGTCTGGATAAATGCTTATTCCTAGTTCTTCCTGAGAAAGTGCTGAAGCATTTGAAAAGCTATCTGTTCCCGGTCTACAGTAGTGTCAGCATGATCCTGCTGATCTCAGAAGTAATAGGCTGTGGAAGAGTTTTTTCCCTTAAAACCAGGATATTTGTTAGCCTTTGTTGGTTTTTATGGCATAACATGCAGACCTTTCCTTGAGGTGAAATAAATCCCAAGAATGTACACAGTGCAGCAGAGGTTGAAAACTAAAAATATCCAGGTGGGTGAGCCTCTCTGAGCCTTACCTGTATTTTTTATAGGTTCTGTCTCCCAGGCTCATACTGAGGCAAGCAGACATCACTGCCTGCTAGCGTCCAAGATGAACATGGAATTCATAATGCAATCAATTAGTCTTGCATCCACTATCACTTGTGTTGCACTTGTGGATAATCATCAGTGGATGGAAGAAGGCTTTTGGGTATGAGTCATAGCCAAAGACTGGTGGAACCTAGTTGTAGTTGTGATCTGGAATGATCAGAATTGGCGGCATAACTTCAGGGTCAGAAAGGAGACGTTTCTTTACCACTTTCGTAGATTAACTCTCACATTTCAGTACCACATCACAAGGATGAGAGCTCCCCATGCTATGGAAAAGAATGGTAATTCCAGTGGAAGCTCTCCACTCGTGATAGTTACTGGTCTTCTGGGCACCAGTTTGGTGTTGATAAATCCCTGGCAGGTACTGTCATGGTGAAAGTTTTCAGGGCAGTACATAGAGCTTTGCAGGAGATGTGATCAAGATGGCCAGTGTGTCAGAAATCATTGAGGGATTAAGCAGTTGAGAGCATGGGCAGCAGGTATAATAGACCAGGGGAGGCTCTGCTGCTGCCGCCAGACCCCTGGTTTTGGGGGGAAATTTTGTTTTATTATACCCTATGCAGGTTCCGGGGTGGTTGAGGAGGTGGTATGTGCTATTCAACTTCCTTGGTTCATCAATAATCTCCCTGGACTCCAGAGAGAATATGGATGAACCCAGGAAGCTGAATAGCAAATACTGTCTCCTCAGCTGCCCCCAAATCTGCATGGGGCATATGAAAAACTTCTTCAGACGAAGTGTGAGGCTTTTCCCTGCAGCAGCTTGAAGTCTGGGGAGGGGAGGCATGGCTGCGGCTGTCCGCAGCTCCTTGGGAGGTGGTGGTGGTGGTGGATGGGGGGTGGTGGTGGTGGTGGGGGGATTCGTGGCTCTGGCCGTGGGGGAGGGACAGGGGGTCTGGGGGCTCTGGCTGTTGCGGGGAGGTTGATTGAGAACCATTTTATCTCAGGAGTATATTTTATACC